TTTTTTTTGTTTTTTGTTTTTTGTTTCCGTATGGGACATTTCTATTTATTAGAGGTAATTTTATTCTGATTTTAATTTATTTGTCAGGAATGGAGGAATTTTCAGCTGAAAGTGGTTTCATTTTCTAGTATGATATTTATGTAGACAGATTTTACCATACATTTGAAATAAAATAACCTAATTCTGTTCTGTCTGCAGAAAATCCCACAGCAGATGAATGGCAGTGACTGTGGCATGTTTTCATGCATGTATGCTGAGTTCCTTTGTCGCAATGCTAATATCACTTTCACCCAAGAAGATATGCCTTACTTCCGCCGCAAGATGGTGTATGAGATTTATACTTGCAAACTTCTCTTGTAATTTTGAAAGAACAACATATAATGGCCTGCAATATGTGAAGTAACTATGTATCTGTATTCTTCCTTAGTTTAATTATAGTTCATATGTAAACACGAATTATATCGAGTTCATGAAGATCATCATCATCATCATCACTTCAGAACGTCAGTTTCTTTGGAGGCTTATATGTTAATATTGTATAGGTGTGAACAGTTTAATTCTTTAGTTGGAAACAAGATGGCGTCCATTGGATTATACTGTTTAATGGAGTTTCATTTTTACTATTATGTTACTCTGTAAACTTAAAAAATGTTTTTCTTTTTCCTTTCAAATTCGTATGGAGGCAGGCATAAGAAGTAAGACAGTTATTAACAGTAACTGATTATGTGACTGCTGTAGTAAATAATGAGGTGGAAATAGAATTCACTTGTGAATCTTCTTTGATTATCAGTTTATGTCATGAAATATTGCAAAAATGCAAATTCCGATAGCTTATGTAACCTGTAGAATATTTCCTTGAAGATGATCTGAGAGATGCTGGGCAAACTGTTGTATTGCATTCTCATGGTTTAATACATTAATTAACATTGAAAACAATTTTCTGTTCTTCGCTTTAAGTAGTTTCCACTTGTTTGCTTTGCTGAACCAGCACTGAATTTCTCCAGGAATACACACTACATGTCAGCTTATTAACACAGACAAACTAAGTCCATGAACTGTTTTTTGGAACAAGGTGTACTATGAATTACTATCACTACCATCTCATAAGAGACGAGAAAAAAAGCCTGGAATGTGACATGTGACTGTGTTGGCCACAGTAAGTAATTGTCTTTTGTACATGAATAATATAGGTATGTTTGTTCTTTTCCTCAAAATCTTTTACAGGCCTGTGTTCCTGTGTGGAGTCTATGTCCCAGGTCATTAAGCATGTACTGTACTGTTCGTGGACGAGGCTGAAACCTGCGACATGGTCTTCCTGAAATTCTGTATCACTTTTGTTTGCAATGAAGAAGTACTGAGTTCATTACTTGTTGCGTTAACCACACTTCTCTTCCATTTATCAAATAAATATTAAGTTACTTCTGTATGTCTTAATTTTTAATTTTTCCTATTCTGCATTTCTTCCCAGTAGTTAAGAGTTTAATATTGCTGATAAAGTCATTCTGACTGCTAATACCGGCAGTTTACTGTAATCATTTACTTCAGTCATATACTTGTCCAGTACCACAGTCTAGCTTTTCTTGAGTATGGAAGTAATGTGTTTTGATTTCATTCATATCATCTGTATGAACAATGATCTTCTGCCAGAATGCATTTACCTCATTTCATAATTTAAACAAAGAGTAGATACCAAAGTGATTTCGTTAAGGAGTCTAAAATAATCAAATCAAAAAGATTTGTGTCAGCTAAAAAGACATGAAGAGACTTTTCCATCAGCAGTCAGAATTGTTTGAAAGGAAACACCTGTTTTTTCATTTCTGATGTATGAGTATTTGAAAGAACATGTAAAAGAATGTACTTACATATTATTTTAGTTCAAGGTAAGGCAATATTTGATAATGGAAAAGCAGTGCGAAATTACCAGTGTTATCAGGCATATTCTAAGTAATTTGGAATATATATTCATGATCAGTAATGATGGGGTGTGTGTGAATTTCATTTCTTTTTACTGGATCAGGATCAATTTGACCTTGATTTGAAAGATGGTTTTTCAGTCTGAAACTTCAAGAATTTTCTGTTGCTTTGTGCAGTAGCGCACAGACTGCCTGATCCATCGCAGTAGTACTAGTTGGCAACACTAGTGCAAATTAAGTTCTCAGTAAAGACTGTCTCTCTTTCTGCCCCAGGAGAAAAGGAGGTGGGCCTGAACTGATTACAATAGTTCACAAACATTTTTTATTGAAAAGTGATATTATGAAAACTGATAAGTGCCTAGTTTATAAACTGTGATTACAGTGAAATATGTGGTCTAATATAGAACATTCTTGTTGTCATCTTAAGTATTGAAATGTTCCTAAATTATTTCAAACTGAAAATGTCAGTATTGTACATACCTAATGATGACCATGGGATAGAACATGTATAATATAATGACTGCATTATTACTGGAATTAGTTTTTCAATTTTTGTTGTACATGATGTAGGATAGTAAGTACTTCTCCCTAAACCCATTGCTGTAGACTTACAGGATGGTCTTACCTGACGTTACAATCTGACTTCATAATTTGCATTCCTTATGTTAGTAATTTGACTGTAACCATTTGTAGGCATATACAAACACTTCTGTAACCTACTGTTGGATATGTCTTGTTTGTACAAATGTTACCAAAATAAATATCCTGATGAAAATATTGTGGTCAATTCTAGAATGAATTTCAGCTTCATGGTAGGCTAAGTATTGTCTTCATTGATTCAATATTTTATTATTTGTACTGGGCTCAAAATTCCCTTTCTAGTGTCTCCTTGGTGGTCCCTCTTCACCCTGCATGTCATAATTTCATATACAGAGAAACTCCATTTAAAGTTTCTGTAGGGGACAGTGGATTTGAACACTAAATAGGGCAGTCTTAAATTGAGGAATAAGATGTAAATTACCATTAAAGTATATACCTTGTATTCGTTACATGCTATGGATACAATTCTCATCTGGAACACTGAGTAACCTGACTGAGTACTTTTGTGATTTTCCCCAGTCCACCCAGGCTAATGCTAAATTTCCTCAAATCCTTTCATTTCGTCATTCATCTGTTATTGTACCATTTATCTGGTCCGCATACTGACAGGGTCATGAAGTAAACCACATCCAAATGCTCAAAACTGAGTACATCTTATAAAAATAAAATTTGTGTGATAGTTATACAGTAACATATTTTTATTCAAACAGATTGTGACATTATAAAAAAAATTATCTCAGTAGACAGTCTCATGACTAAGGTAATCAAACCAGTAACTTACAGTTATGAAGCAGAATTGTTAACTGCTGTACTGTGATGTTAGATTTCATGAAATAGGTGTGTGAGGATTTTTTGAGTAATTATGTAACTTGAGAAGTTTCTTTAATGAGATTTTCTATTTTTAAATCCATGCAAACATGAATAAGAAATTACAACTTCAACACTTAATTCATTTGTGTAAATTATATATATATCATTAAACAGTTTATCTCTAAAAGTCATACAACAGTTTGTATTTGTTTAGACATGTCAACAGTACAAATATGTATTATCTTCATAAATATGAATTAAATTAGATTAAATTTATAAAATATGTTAAATTAACATATACGTATATTATATAATTAACAAACAGTGTTGGTTTTAATCTGAAGAATCCAGATGTTCATGTTGCTTTCTGTAGATAATAATTAATGGTGATCTGAAAATTATGGCTGAACTAAAATATGGATTCTGGAATCATCATTGAATGAACATTGAGCTATGATTGAAATGACATGATTCATTAGGATAGATGCATTGTACTATATTCACAGATACTGTATCCTAAATTTGGCAACCACGCTATATCTAAATTGGCAAACCTGTGACTAAAATAATTTTCACTGATGGCTTTCTTAAGAATGAACAGATGTATGGAAAGATTAAGACACTATTAACTACTGTATGTTGAAAACTAGACAGGAATTGGATCTTTTATGTATATACAGAGGTACGCATACTGGAAATGTAAAATTTCTCACAAGTGCACGAATTGAAAATAATGTAATAAACCTTGCTAGTTATCTCTGGCTGGTATTCAGTTTGTACAAAGGAACAAGAGTTTTTGTGTCTTCAGGATTGTAAAACGTGTAGGCATGGAAGTACCTGAGACTGGATCACCTCTTTATGTGTTAGCAAGTGTATATAGAGTTGAGAACTACATATCCAGATTATGACACAGTTCTTAAAAAATAACAATTTTCAAGCTTATGCGTAGGAAAAAGAGACAAACAATTCACAACATCTAGCACACCTGAAAGCCATCAGCAATTAATATGCATCATTTACCTCTATATTTAGTTTACATTCAAGAGCAACATTTTTAGTACTAAAGGTATATTCTCTCATTATCAATAAAGAAGGTATAGTTTGCCACCAGCAGATACTTTATCATAATTACATATATTCATGTAACTTAATTACAAGATCTTACACCATACTTAAGCTGTTCATTTCTTATACTACATCTTAAAGTTATTTTCTATTGCAGTTTACTTAAATATGCTTTTGTAATGGTGGAGGCTGCATAGCAAAGGTAAAGTTCTCCTTATGCTTAATTAATTAAGTACCACGCCATGAAGGCAATTGGGGAGTGGAGGTATAGTTCCACCATTCTTGACTTCAGCACTAGATTGAAGTGACTGGTGAATTTTACGCCCTGGTTGCTGTACCCCAGGAAAAGACATCCAAGTAGCCATTGGATAGGAGGCTAGGTGGGCCCCAAGCTGGTCTGAACACTGGAGCAGAGATAAATGTCTTTCATCTGTCAGAAATCAGTCCCCAGCAATCCAGTCATTAGCTGTCACTATACTAACTGAGCTATCTTGGCTCATTATGTTGTGTGTTTCCAGTTGTTATCTGGAGGTCCTTAAAAATCACAGAAAAATGCAATCAGGATATTCATCCTGTGGGCTGAGAATCAAATCCAAGCAGGAGTGCTGATCACACATCTGTGGAAATGAGATCTGAATTCTGAACTGGCATTTTCTGTCTGTTGCAATGTATCCTGAAAATCTAATCTCATAGATGCTTGTGGGAAAATGCATTGTGCTTGCAAATACTCTTAAATTAAAATAAACTAGGAATGAGTCAGTGAAAGTTCGCAGAGTTATCCCTTCAGTGTAGATGAAGCACTAATAGAAAACACATCTAGTAATCTACGATAAGGTATTTAAAATTGTCATCTGTACTGGAGGTATACTTCTTACTTACTTTTTTGTTCCAAAAATTGGTCCATAGAAAGTGTGCCCCACAGTTGTTTCTTTCTTGCCCTGTCATAATTTTAAGGGAAGATGTTTTACTCACCAATTTTTCCACAGTTTATTCATGAGAAGCATATGTCCCAGTTTAAAACATTTCTGAATTCTGTTTTAGAAATAGTAATTTGATCAAAGCTATGGTGATGCAGTCTGTAAGTATGGTGTTTGCTAAAGTGATACTTGGTGTCATTTTCATTCCACTTTTTTTTTGCACTTATGGCAGAGCTGCTGGGAAATTGTCAAGAATAATTAGTTTGAAATGTCATAACACTTTATCGGGACTTCAAAGAAAATATATTTACGTGTTTCACATAATTCTGGGGCCATAAGAGAAAACACACTTCTCTTATTGAAATGTGAAGAGAATACACAATTGAAAGATCAAGTCATTCATGACAATTTGTTGTGCTGTACGTGCAGTCAACTTATTTGCGTGCCTTAGTAATGCAGGACGGGAGACAGGACGGTGCAATTGCGTGATTAATGCGTGAAATTAGGCAAACTGCATGATGTGCATACCATCTACTTTCATCTGCTGCTATCTCTATCAAAATACAAATATTCTGTAACTATGCAAGAACTTGAAGCTATTGTGGTATCGTGTGTTTAAATCTGTGAAATTGCTCTGTAATATATGAGAAATTAGTAATTGCATATGTCCATATTTTTTCTTTGGGGATTATGATTGTATGGAATCATTTATGATCACATGTTCTGAAGTCTTTAATTTGTGATGGATATGCACAGAACTTCTGCTGTTCAGTTCCTACACATTAAAAATGGCATTTAGCAGAACACAAGTGATATAATGCAATATGCCATTTGGCAGAGATAGGATGTACCTTTGATGGAATATTTGATCTCTGAATTTCCTTGTGTCTCCATGAACCGTTGCTTTTAAATCTGATAACAAGAATTTCTGTCTCAACACAAGTGAAGATATTTATAGTTCAATTTACAATAATTCCTAGAGGTATCCAGTTGCAGTAACAAGCCATCACTATAAATTAAACAGTGTATAACTTCTTAAGAAATGGAAGTGCTGCTGTTACATCTCTGTATCTGTGTAGCTCTGTAGAAACTCTATAATCATTGCTACAACGATCCAGTTGTGGTTCTAGTGACAATGTAATTACAAACTGAGTCCTGAACATATCTGCTTGAAGAATGGAGATACAATGTTACTAATCCATGCTTTTTTTTTCTGTGTACTAGTAGTACTCTAGGAACTACGTGTGACACATATTATGACATATGGTCACTGGTTTCCTTCAGGTGAGTGAGTTTATAAGCTGTTAAGCCTATATTCACAACAGATCAGTGGCTTTGGTACAGTTTTTTTTCTGATATCCTTTTGAATTGAGGTTAATTAGTTGTTAGTGTCTGATGTCAAAATGTTGGCAGGCTTAGAAAGGGTGACTGAATTTAGTTTGATGAGTAGAATTCAAATTATTATTCAATTCTCAATCATAATCACTCTTGAAAATATTTAAATCTAGTTTCACAAACTTTAAATACAAATCCCTTTCATATCTTCTCAAGAAATGGTATGCTGTGTAGTTATCCAGAAACTGTTTGTGACAGGGATAGCAAAATACAGACAACTGACCAAGAACCTTTTTCTATTGAAGCATTTATGAGAATGAAGCAGTGATTCAACCCAATACCCGATTAAGAAAATAAGGATAGAATGAGTGACTTTGAGGTCTGATTAGCCTTCTTCCTCTGTTGGGTCGAGCAGGGACTTCTGGTTCAGTTTCAACAGGTTGAATCTGTTCTCCTTCGTCTTGTTGGTCATTATGTGAAGCCCAGTCACTCACTGATTTAATGCTATTTTCATTTGTCTGGTCATCTGTGCCATGTGGGACACCACGTAGAGGTGCTGGTAGCAACTTGCGGCGACGATTCTCCTCTTCACGGTCTTGTACCATCTGATCATTAGTTTCATTGTTATCCTTGGTTAGCACTGAGCTTTCCTTATAATTTGGGTTGATGGATTCTTCACCTGATACACTGATATTATCATTGCTTGAACTACTTACTGTTGTGTTCCTCATAATAAAGGTATCCATAGTTACTGAAACCGTTTCAGGTGGAAAGATTTCTTCTTTCATTGTCAAGTCTCCTGTGTTGTTTTTTATAGCATCATCTGTAAGTGAAACTGTAATGTCCTTGACTTCATTAAGTACACCCATTGATGCTGATGTTTCAGCATCAGTATTGGCAGTTGACAAGCCTGTAGGAGACATAATGATTGGTGTACTTAACATGCTTCCAGTTGCCTCTGTCTCCTCTGTGTGTTTGTCCATAATAATTGTTTTCTGCACCATGTCTTTAATGGTAACAGATGTATCATCTGGCACAACTGTTATGAAATATTCTGTATGCACCTGTTTCGTTGCTGCTGTTGTTCTGGGGTCTGTGGTGGTGTAGGACTGCTGCTCATGGTCGCCAGTCAAAGTCAAGCCATCTGTCGCTGATACCACTTCAGGGGCTGTAAATTCTTGAGTTGTAACATTTATTTCTTCAAGGGTGTCACTGGTCATGGTGACAGTTTCCACTGTACTTGAAGTGCTTGTAACAATATAAGTGCTAGTACCAGTGCTGTTGATCTCCTCTGCTTCTGTATTGAGGCTCCTGGATGTTCTCAGTAGCAGGGGGCTGACGTCATCTGCATCACGGCGGTGTCTGGTTGGTGGTTGGTGGGATTCGGTTCTACCTGCACTGCTCTCACTAGGTGTGCCCAAAGTGGAACTGCTTGCTGATACGGGTCTATCTTCTTCTTCTGCCTCATGGCTTGACTCATTCCCATTGTCACATGACAACTGATGAATCATCTCACTGCGGTCCTATTGAACATGAAATATGAACCCTGTACTTCCTTACAGATTTCTAAATTTAAGGACAGTAAATAGAGAAGACTATTCTAGGATACAAACAGCATAGCAGGTGGCTATGAACTGTGCCATAGCAAGAATTATCAAGTGCTGATAGTTAAACCAAAGAGCATCAGTCAGTTTTCAGTCTACATTCAATATTTTGAAAAAATAAAATGAGGCTTATGAGATAACCTTGCTGTCCTGGTGTCACCCACTATCAGTGCTAGGCAACAGTTCGGTAAACATGTTTGTGTGTCAATGAATACACATGCAACAATAGAAGAACTGTTGAATGCTGTTTTCTGTGCAGTTTGTGTCATATCAAATACCCAATATGCAGTGAAAGGCAAGTAGGCCATTAGCTCTTCCCAGAACTTCTTGTTAGTACTTGTACCAGCCTCTTCATCTTATGCTTGCATGTTCAGACAGATGTCTCAACAATGTTTCTTATAGTGAAGTCTCTCTTGGCATTATTCACCTTAAAAAAAAAAACAAATCCCGTGGCCTGTAGTCCACAAGCAAACTATACCGAACAAGTGACCGCAGCTTGTCGGCGAAGTTAGTGCCAACTTTAGTGGATAGAGGGTGTTGTGTGGTCAGTGCAACAGATCCCCATGGCCGTTAATCTCGGTTTTTTAGACAGGAGTCACTATTTCCTTGAAATAGCTCCTCAGTTATCCTCATGAGGCTGAATGAACCCCGTTCCAGACTCACCGCTTCTCAGAAAACGTGGTAGCGCCGGGAGTCGAACCCAGGACCTTTGAATCTGTATCCAGGAACTCTGACCACTAGACCACAGAGGCCTTCACCGTGCTGAAATCCTAGTATAATGGTATAAGGAATAGGATGTGCTTTGTAAAGCTTCTGTTTCAATTTAATTTGTTTCATTCTGGTCCATCACACTAACAATATTATAAAAAGATAAAACAGTTCCGTCCAGTGTGACTGGTGAAGATTTTTCTTATTTCAATTCTTCAGTCCTTCATCATCAGAGGGACGTCAATACAGTTTGGAAACTACTATTACAATAGATGTAATAGATATATATATATCTTTTTCTTATTTGTTATTTTAAAGGTCAAGGGACTATGTCCTCATCTTTAATTGCATAATAGCTATAGTTGTCCATTTTGGAATTTGACTCTATAGCTTTATCTTCTATTTTAGCCCGACTCTGACATTATTTACTCCAGCTGTTACATTATGCATGGCCACAGCTTCTAGGATTCATGCATATGATGTTTTAAATTTTTGTCTGAACCCCCACAGATGTTTTATATATATCTAGGCTTGTGTTGGTTGTGGTATCTGGAGGTGGGGACTACCTATGGGAATTGACCTTTTACTTGAAGATGGAGGCAAAGTCCTGGTTCTTTCAATTAAAAAATGGGATGATGAATAATGTCCAGGAAGTCAATAATTATAGCTTTTTGTGGAAATGTCCCATGTTTAATATGAACAAAATTCATCTGGCAGTGTAGTTGCTGACATTATGTCACAGACAGACTGACAGACATAACCTCCACATAAGTTGTTTCCTCCTGCTGTGTCAAGAAATTGTAAAAGTAACAAATGAAGTTCCACAAACCTGGAAAAGCAAAATAAACACGAGAAAATTGAATAAATTACATAAAGTATATATTTATTTCACACATAAACTGACAACCTGACTAACAGTGTGGTAGTAGAGTCCAGAGATCTAACATCACTAAATCAAAGCCTGGATTTTGACCCAGTCCTAAGCTAGTTCAATCCACTTCCCATACTCAACTCCAAAAATCATAATGTTAACACTCTCACCTCATTTCTGGTTTGCCAGTACATTTCATGGTATAATTATTGTTCTGGCACATTTAGGAAAATAATAAAGTATTGCAGATACATACTGATCAAACAGTTCTTTTGAGATTCACAGAATGTGAGGTGAACAATCTTTACACACTTACAGCTTGTCCCTTGCATGCTATTCTTCGAGTTCCATCCAGCCCACAGTCAGATGTTAATTCCACAGCAGCTTGCTCTGGCAGGTAAGTTACTGTCAGTGATGGGAGTGCTGTCAGCATGCAGCCATTCTCTTTCCGTGCCCATGGTGGAACTGTAACAATATGAATAAGACTGTTTGTTCTAGTAACTTTGACAGGTGAATTCTTATTTCACACTGTTCATAGCACTTCAGTCAAAAATGTGTTCTTTTCAATGAATTTGATTTGTTTCATTCTGGTCCATCACACTAACAGTATTACAAATATTATAACTTGTCTTCATGTTCGAAATTGTCAGTTTTGCCACTGAACTAGAAGGGTAATTCCTCTGATATATTTCTTGAGATTGAGTGATGGCGGAGGCCCGTTCCCATGCCGACACAGACCGTGAGATTTAGATGTCTGTTTTATCTCTCACACAAATGGCAGGCTGATTCCGACTGATCCGTATCAAGGCCCCTTCAAAATTGCTCCAACGCGCCCAAAACTCATATCACTAAAAAGTCTTCCCGAAAAGTGTATTGCGACCACCACCACCACGATTCACAATACGAAACTCAAGAGTACTGAAAGTAGAGATGAGCCCGTTTTATAGTCAAAAGGCTCTAGATGCGATTACTGGTAAAAAACGGATCCCGATTAAAGAAACCTACGCTCTTGGTGGAAGAACACAGTGGGAAGCAAGCGTAGACGTGTTTACTAGCCAAACTCTTTAGTTTGTAGACCGTTCAAATGAAGTAGGGTGCGTCTGTCATCGATTCCCTGGATGGGATGACGACTGAAGAAGTCAAGTTTGCCTTTACTGAGGAGGCTGTGTTAAGAGCGTACAGTAAACCGGGGAAAGAGATGCGATTCTCGACGGTGAATAATCGACGCAAACCCATTCACTCCTTTGACCGTATTCCAGAGTTTTCAGAACCTTGCATTGCCGACCACCATCAGTGCTGGATATGAAAAGGCCAATCTGCGTCCGTACATACGCACTCCAACGAACTACTTGTAGTGTCATCGACTTTGAGGTATCCAATACAAATGCACATCTAGCCCGCTCTGCGTTATATGGGACGAAGATGGTCACGGTAAGGCACTGTGTCCTGGCGCACCTCATTACATTAACTGCAATGGCACCCACGCCTTAAGTGACAAGAGCTGCCCTGTGTCTCCGGATGAGAAGGCCACCCATGAAGGGCCTTAATTTCCTGGAAGCTCGAAAGTAATGCCTTGAGGGCAAACCTAGGAAGATGAATCAATCTCATTCATCGTTTCTTCACCAATTGCATGCATACGAAAATTGTGAAGTTCACATAGAACATTACGCTGGGGCGACGATTTCTGGGGAGGGCTCCTGTGTGGCTTGATGGGTGGGTGCCGGAATTTTGGGGTTGTGAGCTGCTTCGTCTTTGAGCTGGGTGTGAGTGGGGGCAATATGATAGCAAGGGCGTTCATGTCCCTAGTGGGCGCTGCGCGGCATCGCTTCCTAGGGCACCGTCGTTTAGTTCTCTGTTATTGTACTTACATCTTTCAATTTTAGCTCGATTTTCCCGTGAAAATAGCCTTAGAAGCTGACACGCCTCTAAGTTCTTCCCCCGCAAGCACCCAAACACACATTAACCAATAGCAGGAAAAGAGGTACATACCAGGGAGTTCACATATGAAGGAGGCAGTTTCTGGACCGCCACAATTGAGGCTGTGCCAACGAAAGTCTGCTGCCGGGTCTATGGCAGCACAAAGGGCTGCCTCGGACTTAGGAATTTGCTCCTGCCAATAGCCACCATCTTGAGCTAAAGTCTTGTAATCGCTGGAAAAGGAGTAAGTGTACAATGTGGTATGGTTGAAATAAATTCATATTTATCTGAACTCCTTCAGTATGTTCCAAAACTTTTCTGAGATTTGTTAGGATGCAAAGAATGCTTTAATGTCAGGAACATACGTATTCCCCCCGGCATATCTTAGGTGGAAAACGATATTTTTAATTGATCTGATTTATTTAATACAAATGTTTAGAAATAGGTGGTGCGAACCACAGGCAGATATACAATTTGTCGCGAAAATCGTATCAAGAACTTAAGTAAATTAATTTCCACGCAAATTTTTCTCCTAACAATACTTATTTTCAAGAGAATGATTCTGTGATCAAATGTGCAGTATTCATTGCAGTAACAAAATATATATGGATATGCCTCCTATCCAATGGTTACCAGGGGCTCTTTCCCGGGGATGAAGTGGCTGGGGCGTGAAGCTGACCATCCACTTCCATCTAGTGTCGAGGTCAAGAAAGGTAGAGCCATACACCCATTCCCCCATACATCTTCATGGCTTGGTACTTAATAATTATGCAGACGGGCAGCTTTACCTTAATCCGTTCATATACCAATGTCTGCTATCTACAACAGATTACGGAATTCACTCTGAACAATTTAGAATATATGATACTGAATACTTACGTCCAAGAGAATTCATCATTCGGTCCCTTCTTTTTGAGGCCGATCCACACATTGGTGACCACGTCAAGTTCCTTCAGATAGGCTCGCGTAGTGTCATACTGATTGCTTGAATCAACTGAAATAGATATTACAACATAATTGTCTTTGGATTGTTCACCTTAAACCCCCATATGACAATATTTTGATGCGAACATTCTAAATTGATTATAACAGTATGCACAAAGGTGGTGACAGCAGTGAAAATAAAATTGAAATTTACACATTTTCGCACAAGATAAAGATAAAGAAGAACTGAAGAGAGATTAATGCAAATCTCGCTAAAATTATTTAAATTGGTTATAATTTAACATGGTTTATGATAGACTGCTATCTCTCATTATTTTTGTTTTATTATATTACCACTGTGGGACTTGTATGAAAGAGACAGTCAGTGAGGGACAGGAAACAGGTGTAGAGTAGTTGAAAAGAGCCGCAGAAGAGATAATGGTATTACCTTCTGTGATCAGGAGCGGCCGGGTAGAGCAGATGAGAGAAGCCGCTGAACAGAGAATTGGATTACAGTCTGTGATAGGTGGACTGTAGTTACAAGAAAACGCTGAGGAGAGAATTAGGAGACAGTTGGGGTTAGCGAGTGCGTACGGTCGGTAAACTGGAAGAGAATTGGTTTGACCAATACAAAAAAGAAGTTAAGGGAGACAGAGCGGCAAGCTTGAAGAACTTATGTAAAGAGTGACAATAAGCATAAGCAATTTGAATATGAAAGAGTAATATACAGTATGGGTTCTGGAGACCCTGTATATCATAACCCCTAAATGTGTTCCCCTTCCTGTATCCCTGGGACAAAGGTTTCATCTCGAGCAATAGTCGTGGCGGCTTTACGTCGGAGGTCGGTTACAGCGAGAATTGGCGCTTCCAATCTGGAGCACGTAACAGCGGAGGAGACCGGAAGTCTGCAAGCGGGACATCACGGAAACATCGAGGGAGAAGAGCAACTTCGTGGACTGAAAAAAAGTGAACAAATATATCGTGCACGGTTAGTTGGACTACGTTATATTAACAATAAGGGTGAACGAGTTGCGAACAGTAAAACATGTCAGAAGACAATCATACATAACGAAGAAAAAATCGAGGTGACGGAAGGTATCAGTGACACAGAGAATGGGGGAGAAATAGAGGAAGGAGTAAACGTGAAGAGTGAGCAAATAGAGGAGACAGAACCCCAGTTACAGACTCGAAACCAACAGACGAAAAGTGTAGAAAAGAGGGACAAGGATAGTACAATAGACATACCCGCCATGTTGTTAACCTTTATGGAAATATTGGAGGACAGAATGATGAAAATGGAAAATGACAGAGGAAACGGGAGTAAAATGGAAAATAGTATTAAAGAAGACGTGCATGAAATGCTGGCTGCATTCGCGAGGGACTCTGAATGTAAAATGAACCAACAGATAAATTCCGCGAACAACGAAGTTAAAGTCGTATCTGAGCGCACACACGGCCAGATTCAAGCGCTGACCGAAGTGGTGCGACATAATAAATCTAAGAGCAACAGTAACATGGAGTCTCTGCGCAATGACGTGACAGCAGTTCAAGCACAAATAGAACTACAGTCGCATGATGTGTGTGAGAGGATGTCCACGTTCGAGACCAGAGTGACAGATTTGAGGGTCATGACGGAACAGCAGCAGATTAAAGTAAGTTCGGAAATTGAAAAGGTTAATAATAAAGTAACTAACGCGTGTGAGGAATTAAGGGGCCAGCTAGAACTCTTACAGGACTCAGATCAGGAGAGTAGTAACGGTAAAGATGCAAACACTAGTGACGTCATGCCTGACAGCTGTCGAACTGACACCTCGGGTGGACATCCCTCGTCGAATTCTTGTATAAATACCAGTAATGTCGACGGCCATGCAAACAGTGGTCCGCAAATTAAGTATGTAAATGAAGCAGGTCTAGGAGGAGGCCCGCAGAGTTGCTCCCACAATAATGATTCCAGTAAGGAACTGACAGGCAATAATAACAACTGGGGATTTGTCAGAGGGACTCTGAATAACAGCCTTGATCTAGCTTTGCCGACTTTGGAAGGACTGCCCGAGCAGAATGCCAAAGCCCATTTAAATGCGTTAATATAATTTATACAGACTAAGAATGTCCCTCCACCGCTTCACTTAGCGGTAGCGAGACGCTCTGTGAACGGCATTTCAGTCACCACCTGGGCTGACGCTATATGGGATCAATTGAAGACATTCGATGACTTCCGGGATGCCTTCATAGACAAATTCTGTAGCCTACAGTGTCAAGCCAAGGTTAGATTAGAGATATATCAAGACCGGTATGATCCGCGATGAGGGTTGAGTTACGGGGATCACTTGTTGGAATACGCTGTCAAGGCCAAGTACTTAGAACCCTCGATGTCTAATTTCAAATTCCTAAACGCTTTAAAGCGCATTACCCTATCAGCGTAAGGAAAGCGTGGAACGTTGCCAAACAACGGACTCTGCAGGACGCGGCGGCATTTCTAACCCACGTGATGAGTCTCGAAGAGAACCCGGAGACGCTAGAGCCGAGACGACCCGTATACCAAGGACAACGCGATAATTACAGCAGGCAGCGTTCGGACCCACGAGATGACCACCGAGGGAGCTGGAATAGGAACCAAAGGCATGCGGGGAGCTATGAAAGCGGACCTGACGATCGCAACGCGTACAGGAACCAGGAGTGGCAAGGACGAGGGAGCTATCGCGGAGAAACCCGGAATCACGACCCAGACAGAGACGGGTGCAGGAGGAATCAAGCTGCGGCCGCGCCCACCCCTTCATACGGCACGGAAACGAGAGATCGACAAGACCGGCGGGAGGAANGCGAGGAAAACAGAAATTAGGCGCTATAGCGGCCGATATGGCGTCTACTGGCACGACAACAGGGGCCGATGTAATGGGATGCGAGGTTAAACACCCGAACGAGCGACATAATCCATATAAACAATTGGCAGCTTCAGGCGAGAACGAAATTAATTGTGACGGAGCAAATGTTTACTTAATTAATGCCAGAGAACTGACAACTTGTCCACGCGTTAGAGTGGCATTTGAAAACATTAGTTGCAACTTTATCATCGATACGGGGTCACAGGTATCGGTATTATCAGAAGAAAATCATCGGAAACTCAAATTTCACGAGGAGCCCGTGCAGTCGGTGGTACTTATGAGTGCTTTTGGGAACAAGACTTCGAGGGTAAGAAGACAAGCACTAATTCCCTTTCGGATTAATGATGACGAGTTGGAAAATAATTTTCTTATGTGCACTCAGCTGCTCAGTCCGGGTTTATTGGGTGCTGATTTTTTGTGTCCTTATCAATTTTCGATTGATTTTTGAACAAGCTGCATGGCACATTTTTGCCGTGAGAAAATTCAGAGTTTCGGTCCAAGGCGAAACGTTTACGCCAAGAGAAAAGGAGTACCACACGTTGAACAGCGTATGTATAAATGAACCTCCACCCCCACCCCCCTCAAAAATACTAGTGTATATCTAAATGTTTGCTGCTGGCACCTATGTATATGCGACTGAGCAAAGAAGGGTATGTTCTCAGAACGTTGCAGCGAGGTCTGGATGCGATGGAGACGCAGTGTGACCGCTGGAACAAAAGAAATGAAATGTTATGTCAGGAGAGTTAGATCGGTTGGGTGTCATCTCATATTGAACGGACGAAGAACTCCCTTCGTGAGTCATATACAACATCTGTATATTTTTCGGTAAGAGGATTAGATACAGAAATCATCGAGTCCAATGCCTTCAAAACATTTCTTGTTAGAGCATGTCCTTCATCGAAAAGTGAGCGATTAAGCTCTAAGTTGAAATGTACCGCCCACAGAGCATTGTTTATGTCTGCAATGCCGTATGCTTGCCTTGGGATTTGCGGCAAATACCCACGTTTCGAAAGTGCAGCGCTTAGAAATCAGGGTTCTCCGCAACAACCGACTAGAACGGTCAGCAACCAGAAGCCACAGAAGATCGTGAAAATGCAAATGTTCGGAATACAGGATAAGTTGCAGCCCGACAGAACACGAGGATGAAATTTTGCGGCGACGAAGCTTATGATCGTTGGGGTGACTAAATTGCCGGTCTAGTGTGAGCTAATGAAAATAATGCAGAATCTGTTGTGGACTGATAGGGGGCTTATACGTAGTGCCAAAAAGGACGTGTGCAGTATGTAGTATGTATAGTTGTAAAGGTCGTGACATGCAGTTTAAAGGAGGAAGGACGAAATATAGAAACTAATTGATTGTGAGAAGAGATAGATCCGTCTTGTCATCAGAAAGGATTCCTATTAAAGACCAAACAGTGAAGCTACTTCAAGACTAAGATCTGGTCAAGAGCGTCTGGATGGGCTCTAAATTAAGAGAAAGTGACTGGCCAACCGTCAGTCGTAAATTTACTTTGAAACGAAGCAAGAAATAAAGAGGAATTTTGTAAAGATAGAAACGAAGTGGTAGGATATGTGGAAGACGAAAGCGAATAG